AGAATTTGTAGGCATTTTGCAATTTAACGAACTTGTCGCAAGAATGCAGTGCTACGCGAAACATATTTTGCTCCCAAGTAGCACAATGGGGTCTTGTCTCTTCGAAGAAATAAATCTGTTGTCAAACATATCTTAAATACAAGGATATTAATCCACAGAGTATACAATGAGGTAACGGCGAGAAAAACCCTATGAAGCTGTTGGTCAACTTGGGTTTTAACATAGGTTGACTGAATTATTGAAAAAGGAAAAGCAGACGTCTAAAGCCTTGTTGATACCGCCTATGTAATATTTTTGGTGCCTTTAATTCAATTTGGAGGAATACGGAGAGTAAATCACCCGAGTGTAAGTCAGAATTGTCTGGTTAGCTTCATTCCAAGCGCTCAAATCTCACCAATCGCTGAATCAATTTCTTTTTTAATTTCTTAGCAAATAGCCATCAGTTTCTACAGTCAATTAATGTCTATTATTCGCAGGCAAATATTAGATATACGTAATGTTCCGTTCATCACAAGCTGTGTGATACTTCATTTCGTAATCTACCCATCATACCAGATGATCCACAATACAAACATTTAATGTGTGCTAGTCATTATAATCTTGAAGCTCGTCGTCTTTACGTAGTAATCCTACAGTATCCTAATTCCAGCGCCTAATACTAACCAAAATGTCTTCGTTGCACGGTCGCTCAGTCCCGAACAGCTTTCTATAGTAAAGAAGATTACTATTTTGGGAACTCCACACAGCCGTTTCTCCTAGCCATTTGCCTGCGTAGCCCCTTTAGCTGAGGGTATGGGCGCGTACCATATCGTTTAGGCAAAGTGCTATTCTATCAATTTTTTAGCCTCGGTCGAAACTCCCTCTTATGGTAATTCGATTCTTCCTAACTGTTTTAGCATATGCATGTTGATGCTTGCCTTTTGTATCAGCCGAATATTCCACAGGGAAAATGTGAATAACAATATTCCCATATATGGAACAGAAATTTACCGTTGGAATTCCACGGTAGAATTCTTGTTTCGTCTCTTACCAATTATTAATGTACAATGATGCAATCTTATCAAGAGCAACTATCAAGTGAAAAGAAGCCGTCGTTAGTTATAGTAGTGTTCGAGGTGGTGTAGACACCCGCTCCAACTATATATACTACGACCTCAACCCGCGCAGTCATTGGATATTTTCGACTATCCAAAAATGTCTACAAATTCATCAGATCAATCCCAACCAGTAGCTCCAGTTTCAGAAACAATAGAACTCGACAATCTATCGACTAACGAAGCCGTTGTAGAGAAAGCGAAAAAGAATGATATCAAATGGAAACACGTTAAGGCTGATGCTTTAAAGCAAAGACACAGAGAAAGACAAATAGAGAGAGCAAGCAAGGACAAGGAAAGAGATATAAAATATGAAAGCCCGTTTGCGTTTACCACAGAAGAACTGGTTTCTCTAATCGAGCAGAAGAATCTACCCCAACTAAAGAAATTTGGCGGTATAGAAGGCATAATAAAGGGACTCCAATCTGATGCTACCGCAGGGTTAAGTGTCGATGAGACAGCGTCGCTTGAACCAGTTAGATTAGAAGAGCTAGAAGACGATCAGAAAGAAAAGCTTGTAGATGCTGTAGTTAAACCAGCAAACCAACCAATAAGTAACCTACCACCAGCAGATGGGACTCCATTTTCACAAAGGAAGGCTGTTTTTGGTACAAATATTTTACCGCCGAGAAAGCCAAAGAGCATTTTTCTGCTAATATGGATAGCAATGAAGGAAAAGATACTGGTAAGTGTGAGCATCGTGAATAGATACGAAGAATTCTTGGATAAACCGAATTTCACCGTATAATGAAGTTTCTCGATATAGCAAATATAATTGAGAGAGAAACTGGACGAAAAATCCGGCTTGTCCGAAATATTGGTGGCTCATTACATCCGGGATTTGTCGCGTAATATAGCAATGTGGGAATATGTATTATTTCTACATCGTGAGCGCAAAGTTCACAATAAGAGCATTTTTCAAAATTAAAATTGCGGTCAAACCATGTATTTATATACATAGTATTAGTTATTAGTTAGCGTATAAGCATACTACTCTTAAAAAACTCCCCTAATATTCCAAGAGTTATTAATTTCAATAATTGTCTTAACTTTCCTCCATAGGTCCTCTTAACAGTCGCTGCAATAGTATCTCTAGTACTCGGTCTATACGAAGATTTTGGTACACATAAAGAGGGACCCAAAGTCAGTTGGGTGGAAGGCGTCGCGATTATTGTTGCTATTCTGATCGTAGTGTTGGTCGGCAGCATCAATGATTGGCAGAAAGAGCTCCAATTTCAGAAACTTAATGCTAAAAAAGAAGACAGAGAAGTTAAAATTATACGTAATAGCAAAGAAGAGTTAATCTCGGTGCATGATCTGCTTGTTGGTGATATAATGTTACTGGAACCAGGCGACGTCGTTGCAGCAGACGGTATACTAATTTCTGGACACAACCTCAAGTGCGATGAATCTGCTGCCACCGGTGAGAGCGATGCTCTTAGAAAGGCAGCCTATGAAGATTGTATTCGGGAACTGATTAGCAAGCAAAAGAAACGAGACGGGACATTGCTAGAGGAACGAACTTTGCCCCGTTTAAAGAGTGATCCATTTTTAGTTAGTGGGAGTAGGGTACTCGAAGGAATAGGAAGGTTTATTGTTACTGGTGTTGGAACCAACTCGTTCTATGGTAAAACGTTGATGTCATTAAGCGGTGATATACAAGACACCCCGCTTCAAGTGAAATTGAATGGTCTCGCCGAAGCAATTGCTAAGATCGGAGGCATAGCAGCTCTGTTGATGTTGATTGTATTGCTAATTAAGTATTTTGTTGGCTTCAAATCCGGGGTACCCCCAGTAACTATAGCAGTAGAGAATCTTGTCAATATTGTCATTTCGGTTGTAACTATTATAGTTGTAGCTATTCCGGAAGGTTTACCACTTGCAGTAACATTAGCGCTGGCATTTGCTACGACTCGCATGCTTAAAGATCAAAACTTGGTGCGCGTTCTAGCTTCGTGTGAGACTATGGGCAATGCAACTACGGTCTGTTCAGACAAGACGGGCACTTTAACGCAGAATAAAATGACGGTCGTTACTGGAATAATTGGGTCAGGTTTGGCATTTGTCAAGGACGTCGAAGCTCATACGAGAAATAGTAAAAATACATCCAAGAGCTCGGAAATGCCCGATATCCTCGTTGACCCCTTATCATTCGTTGAATTAAAGGAGAAGCTTCCATCGAATATCAAACGTTTACTGGATGAGTCTATAGCCATAAATACTACAGCATTCGAAGGGAGTCCCGATAGCAACGGGAAAGTTAGCTTTATTGGTTCAAAAACGGAAACAGCACTATTAAACTGGATGTTGGATTTAGAATTAAACAATTATAAGGACTTGAGAACAAATGCCAACATTGTACAAATATTCCCTTTCAGTTCTGATCGCAAGGCGATGGGTGTAGTAGTAAGAATAGATTCTACGAAATGGCGATTCTACGTCAAGGGCGCGAGCGAAATCCTGCTCAAGAAAGCACAGACCATACTCGACACTTCAACATTATCTGATCAACTCCAGATAGTCACGCTAACACCTCAACAAATAACTAGTCTACAAAACATCATTCGTACGTACGCATTACAAAGTTTACGAACTATTGGGTTAGGTTATCGAGACTTTAATACTTGGCCGCCGAAAGGATTTTTTATTGACGATGACGGCGAGGTTTCGTTTGAAGAGCTCATCGAAAACATTACGCTAATTAGTATTGTCGGTATTGAGGATCCACTACGCGATGGGGTACGGAATGCTGTAGCTGCATGTATGAAAGCTGGCGTGACTGTACGAATGGTTACAGGTGATAATGTTCTCACAGCAAAATCAATCGCCACTCAATGTGGAATATACACAAATGGCATAATAATGGAGGGTTCAGTGTTTAGGAACCTTTCGAATCAAGAAATGGATGACCAAGTTCCCAAGCTCCAAGTACTTGCTCGATCTAGTCCCGAGGACAAGAGAATTCTCGTGGCTAAACTGAAAGAGTTGGGAGAGATAGTTGCAGTCACCGGTGATGGAACGAACGATGGGCCTGCTCTCAAGACAGCTGACGTTGGGTTTTCGATGGGAATTTCCGGTACGGAAGTGGCCAAGGAAGCTTCTTCAATTATTCTTATGGATGATGACTTTTCAAGCATTGTAAAAGCAATTATGTGGGGTCGTAGCGTTAACGATGCTGTGAAAAAGTTTCTACAATTCCAACTTACAGTTAACGTTGCGGCAGTATTTCTTACTTTCATATCTGCTGTTTCGAGTGGGGAAGAAACGGCTGTATTGTCAGCTGTCCAGCTGTTGTGGGTTAATCTTATTATGGATACATTTGCCGCTCTGGCCTTAGCGACAGACCCACCGACACCCGACTTGTTGGACAGGAAACCTGAACCAAGAGATGCACCTCTAATAACTATTGAGATGTGGAAAATGCTTCTCGGTCAGGGTGCACTTCAATTGGTCATTTCGTTGACTTTGTATTATGCTGGCGAGAGCATCCTGAACTATAAAACAGACTTGGAGAAGCGTCAATTGAAGACATTAATATTTAATACATTTGTCTTCTTCCAGATATTTAATGAAATCAAGTAAGAAATGTTTTCAGTGAACTGTTTAATTAAGAGAATTTCCTAAATTAGTAAATAATCATTAATTATTCTATTTCACGAATCACAATAATGATTTCTATCACCGCAGCTGCAGACGTCTTGATGGAGGTCTCAACGTTTTTAAAGGTATATTCAAGAACCGATTCTTTATCGGTATTTTTGTTATAATGGTTGTCGGCCAATTCCTTATTGTAGAGTTTGGTTTCGAGGCATTCCAAGTGACACGCCTTAATGTTGTACAATGGGCTATTTCCGTTGTTCTTGGTGCTCTTTCTTTGCCATTCGGTCTGATCATTCGACTCATACCGAATGAATTAATTACTCGCTTCGTCCCGTATCCTACTACTGCGACTCCTCTACCACTTGCCGAGACACCTAGCTCATATACACCTGGTGGTGATAAAGTGGTTTGGAATGATGCAATCACTAGTGTTAGAAGCCAGTTGATTGTGTTTAAATCATTAAGAGGAGGGCGAGTGAAGGCGTCTTCTTTATATCATGGGCGTCTGCATAGTGATGGCAAATCTGCGTTCGCTGCGGCGGCAGTAGTGCCTAGTTTAGTGGCTACGTCTGTTGGTGCTG